GAATGTGATAATGATAAAACAAAGATGACAATATTAGTCAAAATGTAAATACCTAAAGATATGTCTTAAGATGTCCAGCTCTTAGGTAAGGTTATGGCAATTTTCATCAAAATAGATCATCAAAGAAAAAAAAATTCAGATTCAAACAAGATGGTAATAAATTTATACAATTTTTATTTTATATATATTGGTTTTAAATAGTGAAAATTTCATGGTTTTCCCATTTTAATATTCTGATGAATCTTAATTCTTAAGTTAATGATTGAGCAAGTTCATGGTGGGCTCTACAACAATAAAATATCTCTAGAAATTCCTCTATCACATCATTAAATATTTGAGCTTAACAATTTTAAGAAAATATTGCAATAATAATCCTAAATATGAAGGTTAGTCATTTTAAGAAGTAAGGAGGTACATTTCACTGAAACAGCAGTTAAATACTGCTATCTTTCCTTCCCTCCTTCCTTCATTCATTTTCTCATTAAATCCAAGTAGCATCACTGATATGTGATTTGTTTATTAAAATGGAATAGTCTATTATTTATGCGGTATTGGTAGGTGAGGTTAAACACTTCTATCTTTCTTCATTCTTTCTTTCATTTTCTCACTAAAACCAAGTAGTGTTTTTTCCCCTCTTTCCATGTGATTAAAACGGAATAGTTCATTGTTTATGAGGTATTGCCAGGACATGACAGTCATACAAACTAACAAAGGGAGGGATATACAAAATTATAATAAATGTTACAAAGAATTGTACAAACAAAAGAAAAAAAATTGCAACAAACATTGGACATATTTTTACATCTACACCAAATAAAGACAGAACAGTCACAGCATCAGTTATACTATCTATCATGCCACACTAAACTGGGGTAATAACAAGGAATTTCTTGAAATATTATTACTATGATAATGGACCAACATGAAGTCTGTCAGTAGGAATTTTGACTCTTGTTTATATCATTAAACCTCTTATAAAGTTGGTTTTGTTTTACATTGTTTGCCTTCCCAAGAATCTATCAATCATATGAAGTAAGGATCTGCTGTATAGTGACACCACAAATTCAAGCAGTTATCACCATTTATGTGAGTGATCATGGTCCTCAACAATTTCCTGTTTCTTGCATCTCTAAGCAATATTCAACTCCTTACTTTGACTCTGCATTGCCACCCATTTACACAAACTCTTTAGGTAAGTTACTCTGTTTCCATCAGTATGTCCTGTGAGGATTTAATTTTCCAAGCTATCCTTCCTTGTAAGGTGTCAAAGAAATTTTATGTCATTTTCTGATTTTAAGTATGTGTCTTTCTAGTTCTATTTCCTTTAGAACTTCCTCATTGCTCATGTGTTCTGTCCATGGTATTCTCAGCATCCATCCATAGAAGCACATCTGTTACTTTGAGTTTTCATTTATAAGGAAATTTTCCAGCATTCACTGAGGGGGGAGAGATATAACATAACATAGATCAGCAATTTAAAAATTTTTTTTTTTTTTTACAAAATATTCCTCTATTTATATTTGGACTATTGTCTTTATCTTTATTGTTTTTATCACAATGTTTCAGCTATTGTGACTCCCCCTGCCTCCATGGGCCTTCTGCAGGTCTATATTGATCTGGATAATCTACCGGGAATTCCAAACTGAACCCTATACTTAATCTATTGGGGTTTTCATTCCGCTCATGTGTCATGGATATTGTGTAGTTCCTATATTATTTTTAATACTGTGGCCTGTTTCCACCAAGTACAAGTACACACTGCCCAGCCCAGGGATTGAACTCACAAGCACTGTCGTCAAATTCACAGAACATTTACCCATGATAAACTACATCTGACAGCATGACCTCTGATCAGGAGGTTTTGAATGTGAGACCATATCCTAAATGCTGTTGTTTCCAGGTCTACCCTGACCCAGAGTGGTAGCACCTGTTAGGGTCCCAGCTATGGGCAAATAGTTAACTCCCAAACTGGGGTCAAAACATGAAAATATAAGAATACATTACAAAAAATTACCAGCAATACATTATTAGGAAAAAAAATTACCAAATCTCACAAGAAAATAAAATTTCAGCATTAAATGACCCATAAGGAGTTGATATGCCATTAAACAAACTACACCAATGGGTAAAAAAATGAAAAAGGACAATAGTGCAACAAAGATGAGGAGAACAGTCCTAAAATAAATAGTGTAAATAATAACTCCTCATCCCAGAAATTCAGACAAAAATATTCTACTGTCTTAATACTTTGCTTGGTTTCTGGAAGGCCTCTTTCACTATTCCAATGCACCTTTAGTTTTCTGTTTTGTTGTCTGTTATTGTGCTACCCAGAGAATTAAATTTTTGTACCTGTTTGAATTTGAACTTTAGCTGTTATACATTCTGTGTTATAGTTAAGTCCTTTTTTTTTTTTCTTGCTTTCCTTTTAACTTCCCTAGAATTCCCTGATTTAGCTGCTCAAAGAAACTATTTCTGGCGGGGAAGGAAAAACAAATTAGATGTTTAAATAATAAATTTTGGATATTTTGGGGATTTTTTTTTTTACTTCAAATTTGTTTTGCAACCAACAAAGATTTAGAGAAAATGGAAACAAAAAGGATACTTATGCTTAATATCAGAAAAAGACATTTGAAAGATGTAGGGCACATGATTAGGAAAGAAGGTGAAGAAAATTTCATACTCACAGGACAGATTGATGGCAAGAGGAACAGAAGAAAACAACACATAATCTACTTATTGAGCTTGAGTGATGGTGGAATGGGGTTTAGGAGAAATAACAAAAAGACAAAATTTATTAAGAGCTACAAAGGACAGGAAATTGTGGAAAACCATGATTGACCATGTCCCTTTAGGGCATGGTCCATAAAAGAAAGTATGTTGCAAATTGGAAATCATGAAAAATCGGATTGTCAGTGGTTAAGAATTAGGGTCAATACAGCTGTTAGATGTACACCAATAATAACAATGATATTATTATGCATGTGATTGAATGATAGAAAAAAAGATATAGCAGTAATTTTTATCTGTATAATATATTAATGCTATTAATAGATAAACTGATAAATGTTACTTCTACTGACAGCAATAAAGAATTTTAAGTTTTTAATTGTCTTTTGCAATTTAACTTTTTTATTATTTGTCCTTGAGATTTTATTTTTTGCCTTTTATTTTGGCTTGCATTATTTTTTTTTTTTTTTTTAAATTCAGCACCATACTGCCAGCAATTGTTATTGTACTCCCAATATAAACAGTCTTTTTTATGTACAAGAAACACTCATTACTAGTTATTCATATGATTATGTAACTAAACACCAAATTATTAACAAAGTGAACTTGTTTGTCTGTTAATATTTGATTTTGTTTTTGTTTTTTTTCTTCTACAATATACACCAATATTTACCATCTATTGTATCAGTATATTATTATTTTATATTAATTTGTGTTAATATGCAAAATATGTTCAAGTTTTAGTGGGGTATATTTGTGGCAGCCTGCTGGAGGTACAGTAAGTGGTATTAGGAGTGTTGTCCCACTTGTTTATAACTCTGTGAAAGGTTTGCATTTTATACCCACCATATAAGTTGACCTAGTTTTGAAAAGATTTTTTTAAAGTTTGAAAACCCGACATGTACACCACAAATATAAAAAGAGTAAATTTTTTTTTTCTCCTTTTTGTTTTTACATGTACAACAAATAAGGTTTACATTATTTTTGCCACAGTGAACTTTTAATTTTATTGGAAAGTGAATGTTTTCCAATCCAAACAGAAGATCATGTAAATTAATTCATTGAAATAGTTTTTTAGAAAAATATAAATTGTCTCCTTATTTAGTCTTTAAATTGTCCATGGGATTATTTTTTGAATTAAGGATCAGTCATTTACATTATTAATATTATTCAGACTGTTGTCCTCATCATTATTGTTGTCATATCCACAATGTTTCAGCCATTGCATGTTCCAGCCTTCTTCAGGTGATTTACGTTGGAATTTCAAACCAAACTCTTTATTTAGATAGCTTGTTCTCATTCCACATGCCATGCCTTTTCTGTCAGTTAATTCTCTTTAGTAACTCAACTTTCTAAGTTTTTGTTCACCTCTGCTGTGGCCAGGTATTGAACTCTCAACTCTTTGGGTCAAGTCATTTTTGGATTACTTCAACCAACACTTTTATCCACTGGGCCATGTGTCTTTAGGGGGCTCTTCATATATGATGAATTTTCCTCTGATACCTAGGTTCTATGAATTTCAGCACAGCACTAGATTGGTGGTAAGATCTCATCAATTTACAGTTGAAATGGCTACATGTGGCCATAAGTTCTATGCTAACCGTTTCTTTTCTCACTTGTTGAACTCACTTCTGGCTTCTTACTTTCCAGTCAAGTGTAATCTTCAAAAATTTAAATGCAATGTCAGTTGTTATAAGGTATCTTAATTTCTGTTCTTTTATTCTTGCTCCTTAATGTTTTTCTTTTTCTTATATTCTTTCACACTCGGCCATTAAGACAAGGAGGGGGGGTGCTATGTTGCTTTGCTTGAAATGATTAAAAACAAAAACTCAGCATTATTTTAATACTGCTAAAGTTGAGCAGGATTAAAAGGGAAGAACAGCACAAAAGGTAACTTGAATAATTGTCATAAGTAAAAAAAAACAAAAAAAACAAATGAATGGCAACTCATTGTTATGTCAGTCATAACTGTTTGTCAGGTATTTTTTTTTTTTTATAAATCGAAAACTTTAACACAATCCTAATATGTCTATTATAGCTCTGGATTTAAAAAAAATGACTTTGTACTAAATTTCAACACTTTTCATATGCAAATAGTGTCATTTTAAGTTTATTCATCTTGTGGTTTTACTGCCTGTACAAATTGAAAACACAAATGCACACCTATTTGATATATCAAATAAATCAGTCTAGCAAAAAAAAAAATGAAAACTTTATTAGCATGATGTACAAACAGAATGTAATTATTTTTATTTCCTTTTGTCTTTTAACAGAAAAAAGACCTCAAAAAAGATTTCCCTGCTGAAAAGAGATTTAGATGCCAAGGCTCGAAGTGAGGCTTTCAGGTCAGTTCATCTGCATTTTCTCTTGTTCATTCAAAAGCAAAAAATAAACATTCATACTTGATGGAAATAGTGTTAAAGAAAATGCATACTCAATTTTCTGAAAATACATAGAGTAGCTTTGGAAGAGAATTGTTAGAGAATGGAAAAATTACCGTTTTGCAACTCCCAGAATAATTTGTCCCACAAATATTTTGCAGATTCCTGTGAGTTTGGATTTAAAAAAAAAAAAAAAAAAAAAGACACAAAACATGAAATTTAAACAAACAATAAATGTATTAAAGAAACATGCTTACAGAAAACTAAGAAGACAAAATTCATCGTTAAAGTTATTGATATTTCAACACCATCTTCAGTTGATGTCTATGAAGTATTTACATGCTGCCTATTTTATTGGAAAAAATCCTCACATTGTCAATAGGGCAAAGGAGATTGAGCCTTTCAAAAGTCATGCCACCTGTAATTTCTTTAGGGGTGGCAATCCAACACAATAAACTACTAGAATATTTTGTTTATTCATTTGTCATTTTTTTATCTTACTTATTATAAAACACAGGTTGTGTGTGTGTGTCTGTACGTTTATATATTGGATCGGATTTCCTACATTTTTCAACCGATTTCAACAAAACTTCACAGGACTACGTAAAATTACCTTGCGGTGGTTCTGACAGTGCCAAAAACTGGAAAAACATAATTTTTTTTGCAGGAAATCAATTTGAAAACACGATGAAACACGATTCTGTCGCCAGAATGAAAGGGAAACAACTCATATCGAGTTATACTTATTATAAAAACCCAGGTTGTTTGTGTGTGTGTTCGTTTATATATGGGATCGGATTTCCTACATTTTTCAACCGATTTCAACAAAACTTCACTTTTTTTTGGCAGGTAGTGTTTCTTATTGTCTTGCACACTTTTTTCTTTATTTTTACATTATGAATGCTTTAAAAATTCCATTTACAAGACAATTGTTTTTAATAAAATTCTATTCAATCGGTAGACTCACGATTGAAAACAATGTTTTTGTTTGGGTTTGACCAATTCGTAAAAAAAAAAAAAAAAAACAAACTAATTAAGACATGTGTGTCCGTCAACCTTAAACAATAATCTTTGTCATTTTTTATTTTCAGTCTTTATGATGGTCGATACTTGATCTATCTCTTACTGTTACGTCCCAGCAACGCCGGCTCTTTTCTAGTATATATATATATATATATATATATATATATATATATATATATATATATTATTTTTTATATATTAATGTGACATATTTTTTATTTTATTGTTTAAACATTATTTTTAGTGGTTACCCATATTTGAGTAGATGCTCCATTTATTTATTTATTTATTATTTATTTATTTATTAAACAGTATGTTTATTTCCATCTACTTGCCTGAATATTTGAGAAATCTTATTAGAAAAATATTCGTTTTCCACTTTATGCTAAATTTACTGTTAATCCTATATGCATTTATATATCTCCTGTCAAATATGATCATTTTTTAATTCATAGAATAATTATGACTTCTACAAGAAAGAAAAATAAATTCAGTTTTTATTTATAAAGTGAAACCATAAACATTAATTATTATTGTATTAAGATCTTTATCATGGAATGCTTATCTACGACGAGGCTATAATCAAACATACACACACACGCAGATATATATAACTTTAAACATTATTTTTAGCAAATGCCCATTAGGTGTTTGATTTATTTTAAACAGTATTTATTTTGTCTACTGGCCTAAATATTTAAGAACATTCTATGTTAAGATTTCTTGAATATTCAGACTGGTAGATAATGTGGGCAATAACTAAAAATAATGTTTAAATTAACAAACATATGTCAGATTAATAAATGCAAATTCTAAGATAATTCTTTGTGTGTGTGTATATATATATATATATTTTTTTTTAATGTAATATAAGAATTCTTTATTTCTTTATATATGCATATTAATGAATACAAAAGGAAAACTTCTTTTCTTTACCATCCTGAAAGATTTTATTTTTGTCTTTATTCATATTGTCACACACCCATATATATATATATATATATATATATATATATATAATGATGTGTGTGCATTCAGGCAGCAATCCTTGTTTTATACAGGTTTCATTGAAGACAACTGACTAGCTTTTATTTTTTTCTTGCATTTGTACCAGTGATTTCTTTTCTGGACATAGTGTAAAAATTGTTCAAATGATCTGTGGATCTGAGCATTTTCAGCTAATGTATTAACCATTATCATTATTATTTTTACACATTCTATGTCTTGAAAAGAAATCATTTTTACAAATACAAGAGAAATATAATAAAAAGCTTAATCACAGTGACTTATCAATGAAACACACACATATATAAGAAAAGTCATGTTGGATACTTCAGATAAATATTGGTCTATATGCTAACTGCTAAATAACAGATTATATTAATATAATAATTGAATACAGTAAAGAGATATAAGCTATCTTTTCAGTTTATTAAATGTGAAATATTTTTTAAATTATGCATTTTATGAAAATAAAAAACAAAACTGCCATCTTTTAAACAAAAATATTTTTTAAAATTGCAATGCAGTTAATACTATTTCTATTATAGCAAATCAAAATATATTTACACAATAACATGAATTCTTTTTTTAATTCTTTCAAATGAGAACAAGTCTAGAAAAGTGAAATAACAAATAAAAATCTCTGTATAATAAAAAAAATTCTTTTTAAACATTTGTATGTATTTTCTGTTTTAATCCAACAGAGCTGCCTTCCATTTACCTGCCCATGAAAAGTTAGATGGAGACACAGACTGCATGTTATGGACCCCATACAATAAACAACATGTCAGTGGAAGACTCTATCTTTCTCTCAACTACATCTGCTTTGCCAGTAGAGTAAGTTCTAAAGTATATTTTTTACCCAATGAGTTCCTTGTACTGTTTTGTTTTTTTCTGACATATAAGAGACTAATTTTCTTTAAATTTCTGAGCCATAAAATCCCTCTGCGTTCTGCATGATGAAAGTTGAACTTGATATATATGAATCATTTTTAATTTAAAATTTTAGTTGAACCACCTGAATGTAACTTTAGAATGAATACTAGTAGGGTCATCTACTGTTACCTGGGGAAATAACTTCAGATATAACAACAGAAAAAAGAACACATTCTATGTAACATATTGGTTTCAATCTGTATAGGGATGACTGCAAAAATATCTCCCGTCTCAAATTTATAGACAAATTCTACAGACACATGCTGGAATTTATTCCTAACCAGTAAAAATGAATCACTTCTTGATCTTATCTGCTGTATTGTGCTTTCTTGTCTTAAAGTGAGAATGCTTTAATCACTTGACTGTGAACCTTTTGCTTTAAATTACTCTTACTTTACCTAGTTTTGATTTGCATATATAGTGTTTGCTTAGCATTATTTTGCCCTGTTCTTTTTCTTCTTTTCATATTATTTATTGAAAACTATTTTGCCAATTACATTTAACCATAGCCAATTACTCCACATAAACATAACCAATGACATTATTTACGCATGAAAAAGTAGCTTTTAGAGAAAATATAGTCTGATTCTCAAAACAAAACAAATAATGAAGGGCTTCTGGGTACACAAAATTAGTGACTCTTCATATTAATATATTTCAATATCTCAGTCTATTTTGGTTAGAAATTGCTTAGTTTGACAAGAAATTGCCTGTTGTTCTCTTTGGCGACCTTGGTTGACAATCTCACTGTTTTTCTGTTTATAGTGTCACCAGCTTCTGCAAATATTCTTTTGTCAGTTAATCTACTTTTCTTGCTTATCACCCACACTTTTATCCTCCAATCTTTTTATAACATTTTTAAACTTTTTTTTTTTTTTTTTTTGTTCTGTTTCCAATCTTAGCAATTTCTATATTTCTTTGTTCTATGATCCTTGTTAAAATGTTTCAATTTCCAATGTTGCATTACCATAAATCAATGGCTTTAAAATATCATTTTACAGTTGAAATGGCTAGATGTAACCGTAAGTTCTGCATTAACAGTTTCTTTTCTCACACTTCTTGCTTGTGGAACACTCTTCCAGCTTCTTGCTTTTCAGTCAACTTTGATCTTCAAAAATTTAAATGCAGTGTCAATCATTATTGTCTGTCTTTTTCATTCCTGTTCTTTTATTGTTCTCTCTCCTTAATAATGTTGTTTATATATTTTTTTCCTCAAATTATCTCTTACTCACTAACCCTTTGTGACTTAGTGACTTTATTGCCTTGCTTGGGGTGAAATCAGTAAAAAAGAAAAAAAGTTTCTATTTTGTAGTTATCTTTTTTTTATAATCCATGGAAATCTTTATATAATGAAATAAAAATAACTATACCTATACTATTATCTATATTTACTTACAATATGATTATCAAACATCATGCATGATCCCACACTACTAAATAAGATTTTATAAATATTTCTAATAACAGACATATATTGAAATTCAGATGCTATATCATAAATATACGTATATCCTGAAAATTTTACCAACCTTAATAAGTTAATATCAGTTTTATTGCAAAAATATTAATGTGCATACTAAAATTTGACATAGTTTATTATATATGGGGTGCAATGGGTAAATTGTTGCCATTTTATATTTTTAAATTCACGCATGCACATTGTTTGTTTTTGATTTTGTCAACTGCACAGTATAGTAGGGTCAGTTGGGCACCGTCTGTGAGGAAAAAGTGCACCATGATGCAATTCACTCTGCCATTTGGAAATGTCATTGAAGCTCCAATATGAACATTTCAGAGTTTTGTACTGTCCTCAGATGATGCTGTGTCCCAAAAAGATGTACCAAGAGTGATGAAAACCAAATATCCAATCACATGGTGTTTGGAGGGATCACTAGTGATGGTGATGTTATGCCTCCATTCATCTTCAACACGAGCCTACATCAAGTGCTTTGAGGAGGTAGTGCTGTCCTCAGTCCAAAGGGTGGCTGCTGGTAGAAACTGTCTGGCAACAGGACTCTGCACCATGCCACACAATCAGTCATGGCTATCAGGCAATTTCTGTAACCACATCACTCCTTACATCTGGCCACCTAATTCCCCAGACTGTAACCCCCTTGATTATTATGTGTAGAGCACAGTTGAGCAAGAGACCAACAAAACTCCTTGAAACACCAAAGATGAACTGAAGGCAAGGATTTTGGCAGCTTTCACCAACTTAAACCAGGTAACCATCCAGAAGAGTTGCAGGAGATTACGAAGTTGTCTGGATGCCAAGATTGAGGCCAAAGGCAATTTTATTGGATAAATTTACTCTTTAGTATTTCAAGATATTTTTGTGTAATTTTGATAAACATATCTGTTATAATGAGGTGTCAGTGTTATTTTCATTTTTGTGTAATTTAGACGACAATTTATTGAAACCTTGGTCTGTGTGTGTGTGTGTGTGTGTATATATATATATATATATATATATATATATATATATATATAAATGAAGGTTTCCCCTGCCCAGTGAGACACAGGTTTGAAATGAGATTTTTTGAATATTCATGCTCGTAGATGATAAATAAACATACTGTTTAATAAATAAACAGCGTCTACTCAAATACAAGGATCAACTAAAAATAATATATATATATATATATATATATATATATATATATATATAGTTGATTGATGTGAGTTTGTGGCCATGTGATCAATCCAACTAAATATATTAGCTCTATCACTGATATTGAGCACTTTCTAATAAGTACCGTGCATATATAATATATGCAATTTTTATATATATTATACATACACACACATATTTTACATATAAATATACCGAGTGTAACACCAAAATTGTCTAAATCATGTAAAAAGAAAATTGTCCATTTGTTAGATTAAGTTTTGAACCGTTGTATCTTAGAAATGATTAAAGTTATCTTACTGGAATTCTTGAGGTTTTTATAACACTATTGGACTTTACTTTGAGCAATAAGAATATATAATTACTCTCCAAGCTTAACTGAGGAATCCTGATGAAATCTATCATAGACGAAAATGACATGTTCATTATTAATTAATCATATCTAAGGATCGAAAGCTCATGAAGGATTGAAATAAAGTTCATATATATATATATATATATATAAGGATCATTTTCCAACTTATTCAGGATCTTCACCCTCTCTAACCTTAACTTTCTGCCCAGGAGTAACAAGGTGCCTCACATGTTTCACATATAATTTCCTTTTCGAGTCTTTTTTAACTGCTCTTTGGACTGTCATAGCTAAAACTCCTCTCACATGCCAAACGTCTTATGGATTGAGTGGGATCTTTTCTAATTGATCTCTTTAGCTCTAAGTTGAAATGATGATCCCTCTTCATGTTGTGACCTCCTGGTCCACATTTCTTCTCTACTGTTCCCTCTTTTTTAAACTTATTCACCATTAACTTGATGGTTCTTGAATGTACTTTGAAGATCAAAGCCAGAGCATGAATGTTGGTACCATTACGGAAGGCCTGAATAATCTTTTTCCTCTCACCATTGCTCAGTTAGAAAGACAATGGAGCAGACACAAAATGATTTTAACCTGTTATCTTTCTGGCTGAATAAGGGTTTTTCAGTGATTCTTATGACAAATGGTGTCAAGATGGCCAAGCATTTTATCTGATAACCTGGAAAAAAACTCAGTTGAATTTTTTTTTTTTTAAATATTAAATATTTTGTGGGTTGGACAGTTATGCTGTTACACAATACAATTTTGCTAGTGTGTGTATGTAATATAGGTACCTCCATGAGATCACTAAAAAAGAGCATAGCATGATGAAAAAGATACCAAACTTGACGAAAACAAAATTTTATCATCTAAATGTTTATTATTAAGAGGAAAGATCAAAGTATTTTGGGGGTATTTTTTACATCTTTTAATCGTTCCTAGCATGTCCGAAATTTTTGTTAAAAATCTTTTTTTTTTTTTTTTTTTGAGTCAGCAAAATTGACAGATAATCAATCATGTCAGCCATTTTTTCCATTTTATAAAAAAAAATGAAAATCTCAGTTTGGAATTCTTTTAAAAATCAATTATCATTTTTTCAAAACTTATTTTAAGAAAGTCAGAAATTATGTTTATTTAAAGTATTTTGAAACCAGCATTATTTAGTTTCTACACCGAAAAGGTGTAGTTTGAAAATTAAACAAAGCAGGTCATAACATTTCACGTCACTTGACATGTGATGAATGTCATATTGACAGATTACGTGAGGATAATTTGTTCTATAGAAGGAGAGAAGTGAAATTATTTAGATTTAAGTGAACAAATTATTTACCTTATTATTTTTAAGGAAAACTTTCAGCACTCTAATTTTTTTTTTTTTTTTTGTTTTTTGTACTTAGCTTTCACCTTTACGTTTATGATGCTTTATGGAAAATATATTATAACGAAATTAAAATAAGACTGTTAAGAGGGAGATTAAATTTCATAAGAAAGGTATCTAATTAATTTATGGGTACCTTTCTTATGAAATTTTATCAAAAAAGTACATAAAATTCTATAATTTTATGTACATTTATTACATTTTACTGTATTTGTATTTCCATTCATTTTATTATTAATTTTGATATTTCATTTATGGAAAAATGTCATAACTGAGATTAAAAATAAGATCATATAAATTTCATAAGATGATACTGATACTTATAGGTACCCTTCTCAGTTGAAATTGAAAAATCAAATTAACTTCTCCACATGTGTTTCGCAACAGCGGAGAACAATGCTTAACTCAAATAACGCAACTTAATTGTATTCTGGTTGGTCTTCCATACTTTATAATTACAGCCCGATTATAAACACAAAATTACATTTCTTAATTACTGCAGGTCTTCTGATTAGTCAAAACAATACAATCTCATGAGGACATTTACGAAAGTGTATGCAGCTTTTAACTAATTTTATAATATTTTAACAACTTAAATGCAAAACTCTATTATAATTAAAGAAATAACAAATAATTGTATTAAAATTCATTTTTCATCGAAAAAAATTTTTGCTTTCAGAAAATATTGTCCATATTCATAAAAACAACTAAAAGCAAATAAAAGCATTTGAAATTAAATAATATCTTTGTTTTATTGAGTTTTGTATTTTACAATTCAGAGCTGATTTTCAGGTAGGGTGCTCCAATTAAAAACAAAGAAAAACAAACATGATTTACATTCCTCAAAGCCTTGTGCTTTTAACTATTGTAATCGCTAAACTGTATTCAATCAAATTTCTAGAGTTTTCATAAAATTAGTTAGTGGTGGGGGGTAATAAATATAAAAAAAATATTTCTGCCATGACTTTAATAAAAAAAAATATATTTATAATAATTTCCATCATCTATGAATAGTTTCTGAATGTTTCATTAACATCTGACAATTATTTTTATTTTTGCCAAATTTTCCAAATTAATGTGTCAGATTAATTAAAAAAAAAAACATACTAAAAATTGTATGTTATTTTACTAGTTCCAGTGATACAAAGAAAAACAAGGTTTTTTTTGGGTTTTTTTTTTTAATCAAAATTTAGAATGTTCTAAAAAGAAGGAAAAAATTTTTAAAATAATTTAAAAAAAAACTTTGGTCTTTCCTCTTAATAATAACATAAACATTTAGACGATAAAATTTTGTTTTCGTCAAGTTTGGCGTCTTTTTCATCAGACTATGCTCTTTTTTTAGCAATTTTATGGAATTACCTACCTACCTACCTATATAATATATATATATATATATATATATATATATATATATATATGTGATGGATTTTTATTTATTAATCTCAGAGATTTTATTACTTAAAAGTTATTTTTAGTGGGTACCTATATTTGAGTAGACAATCTATTTTTTTAAACAGTATATTTATTTATTTTCATCTACTGGCCTTGAATATTAAAGAAATCTTATTAAAGAAAATATATACTCCCTGGCAGGATTCAGACCTGTGTCACTATGGGCAGAGGAAACCATCGTTAAATCCAACATACATTCAGCCATGAAGTGCATCAATAACCAAGCAAAGTTGAACAGTGCCTTTAAATACAAATCTTGCCCTGACTCTAGAAATGTATATATCTGTTTTGTTTTGTGTCTTAACATAAACAAATATGAATATCCATTAAAAATTACATTTAAGTAATAAAATCTGTCAGATTAATAAATAAAAATCCATCACTTCTTCACAAATTACTTTTGGATTTAACAATAGTTTCCCCTGCCCAGGAGGATGTAGGTTCAAATCCTGTTGGAGAGTGCATAATTTTTTTTAATAAGATTTCTTGAATATTCATGCTTGTAGATGGAAAATATATATATATTATGTTACTAAATACACATATACCTACATACACATAGGTATATGTGTATTTATTAATATACTTTATAGCTCAATTTAACTACATTGAGCACTGTTTTGTTTACACCATGAATTAAATAAATACTTATTTGCTTAACTGTATATGCACGCTGTCGCACACATATACAGTTGCTAATATCTCGTTATTTAGTTTTTATCCACATTTATATATACAATATATATATATATATATATTATACTAAATTTAATGTGTGTCCTATATGCCATCAAATGTTAAACTTTTTTTTTTATTTAGAGAATAATTTTCACTTGTTTCTATAAAAAGAGAAAAAAAATTAAATTATGTAATCAGCACTAATTATTTTGGTGCTAAGATTTTTATTGTGGATTGCTTATCTAGGACAATGTTATAAACATTTATAGAGTAAATCTATTTCTAAAGAAGTGATTTATTTTTAATCCAATATTTTTTTCTAGTGGATACCTAGATTTGAAATCGACACCCCATTTTTACTTTTGTTTGTTTTGTTTTTTTTAACACTGTTTAAAATAAAAATGTAGTGACTATTTCAAACACAGGTGTCCACTAAAAATAACATTTGAATTAATGAAAATGTCTGATTAAAATATAAACACAATAATTCTTTAGAAATTTGTCTACATTCTGGATATGAAACTGATATATGCTTTTGAGAAAAATCTGAATGAGATAGGATGCATACCTTAAAAGAGTAAATAGAACCTTGCTGAGTATTTCTTTTTGAAATGGTGGTTTCTTATAGCCCAGATTCAAACCCTGCCAGAGAACATATTTTCTTTTAAGATTTCTTGAGTGCATAGGCCACTAGATATAATGCACACAGTTTAGAGTAAATCTATATAAATCATAAGGATATTAAAAATATTTTGTTGTCATATAAAAGAAAATACATATATACTTTGGACTAAATATAGTTCTATATCATAATTGTTAAATGCTAGATTATATAAACATAATAATAAATATTGAAGACAGTATAGAAGCATAAATTTTTCAGTTCATTAAGTGTAAAATATTTAAAGTTTACTTTTTTTTTTTTGTTATTGCTATGTTATTTTTTGTTTTCTTAATATAGATTCGTGACCAAGTATCTGTGATAATTCCCAACCGAGAAATCTTAGTTGTAGAGAAAATTGATAGTTCGCCTTCTGGGAATGTGATAAGCAATGCTTTGCTAATCACCACAAAAGGAAAAGTAAGTAAATTACCTTGTCTTCAAATTAAATCTTTATAATTAAAAATTTGTATGTGTACAAATATTTGTTCCTCCCCGCCACTAATATAATCAGGATCAAATATAGATCAGAATCTGACTGAATAAGATAAAGAACAAATAAGAAATTTTTATCAATCTAACATGTTTCACTTTTATTCAAGCTTCATCAGAGTTGTTCTTTATCTCATACGCACACACACACACACACACACGGTGTTTTTGTTGTAACTATTTGTTTAATTTTCAGATGAATTTTACATTTGCTCAACTTCAAGACAGGGGAGTGATATTGGACAAAATTTCCTTTTTCCTTTACAAACAGCCTGGCATCAAAGAGTAAGATTTTATCTTTTGTTTGTTCTGAAAAACTCAATTTTTCAAATTGGATATTAGATAGTGACACTTAGGTATTTAATAGAGTGAAGTGGCCAAGGTAGAAAGTTCCTCCTTTTTTGATTTTCTAAAATTTAATTTGTCCCCCACCCCCATTATTACCCACCCACCTTATTAGATACCTAAGTTAGATGCTAGGGCTTCTGTTTGCATTTGATTTTTGCTACAAACATTGGCCTTATTTATCTTTCTGATCAAATCTGTTAATAATAATCTGTTAAAGAACATTTTTTGAATGATGCAATCAAATTTGAAATGTCAGCTCTTGATATCTACTCTCCCAAATAATTGATCCTTTCCTTTTACAGAGTGAGTGACGTGGGAAATTCTGAAAATGTGCAACAGAAAGGTTTGTAGAATTCAGTTTTCACTTTGAAAACCAGCAGAGAGAAGAAAAAAAATCATGTTTTAGTTTTTTTTTTTTGTTTTTTTTTTTTTTTTCATTCAATTGTCCAATATTTTATGCTTTTCTACACAAGCAATACATATACACACAGTGGTGTAATGGATAGTGGCTTCGATTGAGAAATCAGAGAGCCAAGCTCAATTTCTATATGAGTTTGTTACATTCACTTACATGCAAATACCCTTGAAGAAAGGTATGAATCTGACACCTCATTTCAGCTATGGGTAAATAGCAGGATAGATTGTGTTCTACAGCCTTGGTTGGCAATATATCTATGAGAAGGTGAGCCAGTTCTCTGTCTTCAGTTCTTCTGAAAAAAGTGGTTGGTTCTGCACAACTTTTCACAACTATAATCATATCAGGTAGTCTGGCTGTCCAGTTCTTTCTGTATCAAAAACAGTAAGAGTCCTGTAGTGTGTGTGATAGTGAGAGAAAACCTGTTTTGAACTGCTACTTGGCTGTTGAAAACCATCTCTTTCAGGATATTTTTTGAGATGCTTGAAAAACAGGTATTTGGTCAAGGAGAAGAATAGTGAGTAAGCTAGGTGTTGTCGTTTTGTAGTCCAGGTTGAACAATTTCTGCAGAGTAATTTACAAGACATGTACTCAGGCATTGTCATGGAAGAATATTAATCCTTTTCAATTGATCAATTTTTTGTAAGTATTTTGGCAATTTCCATTGTGATAGTTTCAAAGAGATTCAAGAACCTCCAATGGAGGATTCCACTTGTCATTCACCATGCCATGAATCGATTTGGGTGAGAGGTCTTTTGATTCTTCACCTTGGTAGACACTGTGCCAAATGCCATATAGAATCCATTTTCTGTTACAGCCAAGAAAAAAACTTTTTGTTGGTAGGGGAAAAATATTAAAAGCAAACTTCTTCTTTTTCAAAAAACAGTTATTGAGCTGTATATTTGTGGATGGTTCCTTAGCTAAATGTTTGATTGATACTATGAGCAGTTTCCATTGCTTTGCATCCTATCAATAAATTCTCTTGAATCTGCATTTCCTTTTTGTTTATTTTTGGCTGTCAAAGCAAACAATAAACACTACAAACAGAACCATTAGCATAAATCAAGAGGATGAAATTCTTATTTACATTTAGACTACTTTCCTCATACTTGTTATCTATAACAACAAAGATGGGCAACAATAATCTGAATTAAACAAGATAAATATAACTCCTCATCTCAGAAATTTGAAATTGTATTGACACACCCCATGTATAGGTTAAATAGTCGGACTTGTATCTGTAAAAATCGTTGTTATTCTCAAAAAAATTGTAAATACTCACTATACCCCACCCCCAAAAAAATAAATATTATTCTTACAATCCAAAAACATTTTTCAACTTTAATGGGTTGATATATTCTAAAAATAAATCAATCATGTAAAAAAGTACATTACATGAACATACTTTAGAAAATTTTTGTTCCAAAATAAGCTTTAAATTGCAAAAATTATAATAAAAAACACACACTTATTTTTCCACCAATGAAGTACTTTAATCATAGTTCAGTATCATGAGTGGCAAACCAATTTTTGCCAAAGCTATTAATTTGCATTTTGAAAGAACTTATATTTAAAAAAAAAATGAAATAGTGTCTCCTTTTTTTTCTTAATCTCAGTAACAGAAGAGTTAGCAGACAACCATTTTTAGCTGTCATTTCTATTAGAAAGGTTCCTGAGAAAAAATATTTTAAATCAATCTTTCATTTCTGGATATTGTTTTCTCTTCTATCAGAATCAATGAAACTAAATATCTTCTCTTGTGTTAGTTTTTCATTGAAATCCTCAATTCTCTTTATTCATTTTAACCAACTGAGAGACATTTGTATGATTAAATTTTTAAAAAAAAGTCTTTAAGAATTGCACTATAACTGTTGTGGAGTAGCTGAACACCCCCCACAAGATGAACTGGTCTAAGGCTATTTAAATCTCTCTCTCTCTCTCTCTCTCTGGGAGAGGAGTTAACAATTAACTGTTTGTTACACTAATCTGTGTTCTCAACCATGTACCATATTATTCTCCAGAATAAACTACTACTTATTTTCTATATGTGTGTCAACCCTTCCTGTTTATGATGCAACAATAACTTTGATAGTTAAGGAAATTATCTGATTAAATATTTCCTTTTCAACAACTAAAACTTGAAGTGTCATCTTTACAATTAACTTATTTAATTAAAAAAATAAACTCATTAAAAAATATTCTAAATGAGCCATTGTTAGTCTAGCCTTGAGCAAAATGAGATTTTTTATTAAATGTTTTTTCTTTTCTTTTGTTTTTTTTTTTTAAAACAGTAGTTCAATTTGTCTTTATTTTTTTATTTTTTAATGTCCGTTTATTGACATCTTAAAAACTTGTCAATCTATGACAAAAAAAACCCTTTCAGATTACAGATATTTGGGTTAACCAGCAATAAGGCTGTTTTTTGCATATCCGTTAACTTAGGGTTTCCCAACCTGGGTGATATCACCCACCAGTGGACGATTTCAACTGTTGGGTAGGTGATAAACAAGTGGACAGAAAATGGTGGGCAACTGAAAATTTTGGTGGGCATATCAGATTTTGAGTATTAAAAACATATTGCAACATATACTGCCTGAAAAAATATTCAAAGAAGATACAAAAAGAACCTGTATAAAATAAACATGTGGCTAAATGGGAATAACTGAATCACATTCATAAATAAGGTATAAATAACCCTCGCAAACAACAAATATTTTGGTATTTTCCATAGTTTTGAGAAAGGTTGTTAACATTCAAATAATTTTTTAGTTGAAATAGCATTTTTTCACATAAATTAGATAAAGGAATACCATGTACAAAAATATATTCACTAAATTTTTATTAGTTGCCAGTAGTGTATATTCTTTTTAATTTTTTACTTATGAACAAAAATTGTTTAATTTTTTGTCGACACTTACAATGCTAACCCTAACCATAAAACTAAATTTTATATATATATATATATATATTAGTTTTCCATGGTTGCTTTTGTTTGTATATTTAATACAATATTAGCAGAAGCCACATAAGTTAGCATTATTTGTTACCTCGCTTTGGTACTTTTTACTACATCATAAAAACTCGCAACAAACTTTTACCACACAATATTGGTATATTTTTTTAATATTTACAATGCAGGTGGGCAGCAGAAAATTTTTCCAGGTGAAAGTGTGTGATGTGCCAAAAAAAGCTTGGGAACCCCTGAGTTAACTGAATGATTTACAATTGTTGTCATCTTTTTTTTTCCTTTTTATCAATTTTCTACAGAAGGAAATAGCAATTTCACAATGCAGCCTGCTCTTATCAGCTTGTTTAACAGAAGAGATTCTGATGAGCTGACCAATAAAGAAAGCATCAAACAACACTTATGGAATATTCACTTCTCCGAATATGGAAAGTAAGTAATATATTTATAACCATAGAAAGTAACACAATGATGGATGTTTCTTTCAGTAAATTTATTCTTATATTAACTATCACACAATTTAAGAATCTCAAATATGTTGAAAAACTTACTTTCTGCAGATTTCATTTAAAAAAAAATAAATGAAAACAAATTGTATAATTCAGCTTAGTTACTATTTTTTGAAAGGTGGCTGTAACCTTAATTTTGAGTACACTTAATGAAATAAAATATTAAAAACATTTTTTTTTGAATATGATTTTAAATGATGCAAATAAACGAAGTTAACAGTTTAGAGAGAAGCCTGAAAAAAGTATAAAATATTAGAGCAGCCGTCACTTCTACTCCAACAGTTTCTTTTCTTGCACTTCCTGCCTGTGGAACTCACTTTGATTTACTTGCTTCCCTAATAACTACAATCTTCAAAAATTTAAATGCAACATCAACTACCATCTTCTTGAATCCCGTTCATCTTTTGTCCTTCCTCAATCCTCCTTATACTCAGTCTTTTCTCTCACTTTCACTCCCTGTAATCCCCTGCATACTAGTGACTTTTATTCCTTGCTTGGGGTGAAATTATTAAAGAATCCTCTTTTATATAGTAAACGATTTGCCAAATTATTTCAGCAATTATCAGGGGATTGGTTTCCTTTATTTTTACAATGGAAAAATAAAGATTTTTATTTTCTTTTGCTTGCAACATGTAACCACTCTGCCTGTGAAGTATTTGTTTGTTCTCAAATAAATCATTAATTATGACTTTATTAATGAATTCTTCATTATCACATAAATCTAAACTTTGGTCTTTTTCACGAAGATATTCCCAAAGCTCTTCATCAATAACAATCTACTTTACCATTTTGAAAGAGGAGAAAAACATGAAATTTCTCTCTTAAAAAATAGATTCTGAGCACTGATTGGTTGGAGTAAGAAATACCAGTTTGATGCCCTGAGACACAGAACTGAATATCTATCAAAATGACAATTTTCAAAATTTACAATGAGTTATGTATATATGTAGCCAATGGAAATTTTGGTCATTTACAGTTAATGGCTTCAGACCTACTTTCTAATTGAAGATTTTATATATAAATTGTTGTCTTTGTTAAACATTTCACCCCAAGGAAGCCAATAAAGCACATGAAGAGGCAGGGGTTTACTGATTGTGAAAGAATGAGAAAAATAAAAACATGAAGGAGAGAGCACAATAAAAGTACAAATAGAAGATAACAATTGAAATGAAATTTTTGAAGATCAAATTTGGCTAGAAAGCAAGAAGCTAGAAAAGTTCTAGAAGGAAGAAGTGCAAGAAAAGAAACTGTTAGCATAGAACTTATGATTACATCTCAAAATTTCATCTGTAAAATGATGAAACCAAGCTGTCTCCATTTTTCATTTTTCAACAAAAGACAAACATTAACATGATATTCCGTATCATTTTGAAGTTTTCTATTTTGGGGGGTTGAGGGGTGAGATGTTAACATGTTCATACTGTCAAAGAGCAGATATAGGAGACAATACATACCCCCCCACACACACATATATATATATATATATATATATATATATATATATATATATATATATATAAAAGGCTAGAATGGAGTCCCAAGCTTTGAATGGCAGCCTTTCTAGACATGATGTCTCAAAAGTGTACTTGGACTAACATGAGTCTCTGAGTTGGGCATCAGGAAGAACATCAGGTCTTGTGAAATAAAACCATTTTCAGGCAGGATCCACCTTGCTTTCTGCAAAATTAATCCCTGCCTTGCCTAAAAAAACAATACTGCTATGAATGTATACTACTTATATTTTCCTTTTTCTGATTTCTATATTTAACAGAGGAGTATGTATGTATCGTACTTACAAAACTCGTGAATTAATCTTAAAAGGAGTCCCAGATAATTTGCGAGGTGAAATTTGGATGACATTTTCAGGTGCTGTTAATGATGTAAGTGTAGTTTTTGTTTTTTCTCAATATGCTTTTCCTAAAAAGAAAAAAATTCAGCATTCAGTACAAGATATAGATTTCATTGAATTTAGAAGGAAATGTAAAGTTTTCTATATTCTAGAATATGGCTACAAAACGTTTTTGCCTTAAAATCTAAAATACTTATTAATATTATTAATTCTGACTTTTCAATCCTAATTCTAAACAAGTAATGACATCAAATTAACATATTCTTCTATCAGTATATTGTACTATTTTTGGTTTCAGTCTTGTCTTAATGATTCAAAAAGAAATATTTTGAATATTTTATCACCCAACTGTCGTCCTGGGTATGATAATAAACTACATCCAGTGGCAATGCTTCTGATTGGAAGGTTTTGAGAAGTGTGGAACCACCTCTTAATTGCTGTTGTTCCCATGCCTACCCTGACTTAGGGTGCTAGCACCTGTTAAGTCCCCAGCTGTGAGCAAATATTGAACCCCCAAACTAGGGCAAAACATTATGAAAGTATAAAAAATACATTTTTGTAGTAAGAATATCAGGAATACCTTTTCATAGTGAAAAAAAGAAAAAAAAACATTACCAGAAATACATTATTGGAAAAGGAAGAGAAAAATTACCAGCCATACATTTTTGTAAAATGGAAATTACTAATGCTCCCAAGAATATTAAATTTTAATATTAAATGACCCATAAGAAGTTGATATGCCAACAACCAAATCAGCTAACTGTATAATTTGGTGGTTTTTTTTACAGTCTGCATGCTTTTTCAATTTGTTGGTCATCATAAATTGCAGGAAGTTTGAGTTAAAAACAAAAAGAAACCTTTCTTGTTCATTGAAAATTTGTACAGCAGATGGATGTAGAATAGAGAATAATTGAATTCATTGTTTCAAAATGGCATCCAACTTTAGCTAATGAGCAATCTGGTAATTAGATATTTTACATAGTAACTTAATTAAACCAAATTGAAGTCCATATTAATTTGTGAACAAAGAACTTGGGAATTTCTCTTTTTAGAGTTTTTGTTTTTGTTGGCCAAAAATTACATCATCCCTGAATTTACAAATTACTTATTGCATTTAGAATGTTCTATAAAATTAGAGAGTAAATTATTTATTGTAATAAATTGTATGCTAAGCTTGTTTTATTTTTTCCCTAAATAGGATCTCATTAAAGATGCAATTAAATCGGCATGTTTTTATAAAGAAATATCAAGTTTACAGTTGTATATATATGTGTGTGTGTGTGTGTGTGTATTTTATATATATATAGTAGTACTACTGCTATCTTTATGGGTAAAAGTGCTCAATATCAGGGATAGAAAGTGTGTAAATATAATGGCCTGAAGACTGTGTTCAAGTAATAAACAAACTGTCACCACTGAGTGTTGATCTCAGTGTCCACTTATAAATTATGTACAATTATTATATATATAATATAGTTTGTAATGTATATGTTTTAATGTCACCAGTGCAAGATAGATAATACTTATCATACTTACACTGGCACTACCAGGTGGTAGGGCCTTTATGACAAACTGTTCAAACATGTTTACAAAACCAGCAGGTAAAAAAATCTCTGAAAGAGTCAAGTACAACAACAATAATAATAATTGGAAAAGAAAATATGTTGAAAGACTCACATATGAAAACCTAAACCTAAAAATATTAAGGATTCTACAAAATATTAATGTGAAAACCTTTTAATAATAGACATAAAATATTCAATTGTTTATTAATTAGTATTAATAAATTCTATTCTTAATGAGGGATCTGTTTTTATTGTTATTAAATAATAAACTGATCCATTCAAAATTATTACATATTAATATAATTGGAAAAATATATTTAAAGATACACATATGAAACACTTGTATAAATAGTACAGACTTAACAAAATATGTCATCAATTTTGACAGCTGTGTGTTAACTGGTTAATTAATGATGCTTACTACTTTTTTCACAGATGGCTATGAATCCTGGTTATTATGCAAGTATGGTACAACAGAGTGCTGGGAAAAATAATATTGCCACTGAAGAAATTGAAAGAGACTTACACAGGTGCAAAAACTACCTTTTATTTTTTTATTCATTTTATTTCCATTTTTCTGTATACATTTTTTAGTTTTTTTTTGTTTTTTTTTACTAATTAAAATGTTTTATATTTCCTAATTTTTCTCAAAAGTATTTCATGAATTTTCTCTAGTTTTTAGATGAGATTTTTGTTTTCCAAATTTCTAACTCTGATATAAATACATCTAAATGTTGTAAATATGTGTATTGAGTTGGTCACAAATTTTATTCATTTTATTAAATTTTCTACTTAATAAGCAAAGGTTTGGCAAACCCAATAGAACTCCAACAGCATTCTATTATTCATTGAGTTTTTGAGAGTTGTTAAAGTGGGCTTGAAAAACTTATATACAGTGCATTGCAAAAGTCTATACCCCCTTGAAAACTGGATGTATTTTGTTTATTTTGATAGGAACAATTAATATTTTAAATTCTAATAATTTATTTTAATAAGCAGATCTATCACGCTTTTATTTAATACACAAAATACATTTGAAAAATTTAAAACTGAATCTTAAAGATAATTTAGCACTAATGAAAACATGTTAATACTAAAAATAGCCAAATATCTAAAGGACCTTTCAGCCAACCCTTTATCAATCATTTGGGAAAACACTTATGTTTTTATATAAATCCTAACAAAAACAATGAAAATTAATTCCCTAAAAGTGTTTTCCATTGTTTTCTTTAATAAGATTTCTCAAATATTCAGGCCAGCAGACGAAAATAAATAAATGGAGCATCTACTCAAATATTGGCATCCACTAAAAAAATGTTTAAGTGATAAAATCTGTAAGATATTTTTTTTTTTACAAAGAGATTCACCCTTTACAAGGCCCGGGAGCCACTCATGCTAGAGAGTTACATTAGAAGGCCATTTGTGTGTATAGGAGTGGGAAATAAGTCCACCCTAGCCTTGAACAGGTTAAGATTGTGGAAACATCTTGTTGGAAGTCAGTTCCACAGGGCATTGATTTGCAGGAAGAAGTTGTTTGTGTGAAACTTAATTATTACAGATGGGTTATAGAGAGAATGTGGATCGTTTGCTACTATGTAAGTGGCTTAGCATGTTCTTGCTATGAAGGTTTACCCCAGTGGGGCCAGGTAATGTAGTTTATCTGAGCACTTTCCATGGAAGTAGCGGTAGAGCAATGGAAGAAAGGTTGAAGGGTAGCTTGTCACCCACAATGGCTTGGAGACACTTTTAAACTCTATCAAAGCTGGAGAGTGAGGTCTGAGCAGCTCTCACCCAAATTTGCCAACAGTACTCCATTTTTGGCCTGATCCGGCTCTTGTAGAGGATAGTAGGTGTCAAGTACTTTCTGGAGCAGTACAGGGAGCGGATCATTTCATCTGCATCCTTAGCAATGGATTGTATGTATGAGTTCCACTTGAGGTTGGGTGTGAGTTTGAGGCCTAACAGTCTTTCAAGGCACAGTGCTTCCCCCAAGAGGACCTCTGTTCATCCTGACTGGTGGTAGTTCGAGGTCAGATTTGTATTGATGGGATGTAACTAGCTTGGTCTTCAAGGCATTGAATGTAACCAGCCAGTTTTTACACTATTGGGTAGTTTGTGCAAGATCAGAAGGGGAGTTCAGTCACAAATATAAATAAATAAAATAAAAAAATCCACTTTAGAAATAAATGTGTGTGTGTGTTGTATATATATATATATATATATATATATATATATATATATATATATATATATATAATATATACGTATATATATATGGAAAAAACAAAAAAAGACTTATCCAAACAGAATAATAGTCTCGGACGTTTCTTATGTACATCATCTTTGTCATATTGTATTGATAATGTTATAATTTATGAATATGTCCTGAAGATGGTTTATTAGACCTAAAAGTCGTTCACGTTGACATATTAACATTAAAACAACAACAATTGTATATAAGGATTTTGTTTGTTTTTTCATATATTTTTCTTCATACTGTGGGATTTATATCCATATATTTGCTTTATATATATATATATATATATATATATATATATATGGTGTATCAAAATACTTTTACAAACTTGGAGAGTAGCTTCCTCACACCAAAACAAGGACAAAAGTCCATATAAACATATCCACAAAGCTTTCATTTTTGAGTTAAGTTTTACTGTTGATCAGGTGTACAAGCAGATCTTGGTCTTCCTCGGTCCATAGTTTGTGGTGCCATGGATCCAGTCCCAGCAACACTACAATAAACAGCAACCAAAGTCAGATGATTCAGCTGTCTTCAGTCTGGAAACGCAATCTGATACAATCATGCAGCCTCACATCCATTACTATTCACAAGGCCATATATGCCTGATCACAATATGAATATCCCACCATTATTAAGCACTACTACACACATTAAATGTTGAAGACAGACTAGCCACAAATGTGCACAAGTGACAAATGTAATCTAGTCTACATGGCAACACAGTACCAATTACTGTAAACTTTCTTTAAACTTAATAACTTAAAAATGAAGAATTTGCAGATATATGTTTATGTGGGCTTTTGTCCTTCTTTTGGTGTAAGGAACCCACCCCTAAAGTTTGTAAAAGTTTTTTTGATACACCCTGTATGTATGTATGTACCATGAGACCAGGGTTCAAATCTCACCATGGTTGCTTTGTCCAGAAGGAGACTTCCTAACGTTATCGGTCTGGAAGGGGCAAAATCAGCTTACAGCACCTTTGGAAAGTGCATGAAAATCATACCATGGGTTGACCAAGTCATTGTGACATAGGGTTTGAGCATGCTGGCCTTGTTCAGATTGTTGATCATACTAGATAAAACACTCAATTCCAGAAACTGTAACTAAGGTCTGCTCAGCATAATTGCAGTATAAACCACATGTGGGCTCTGAACAAGAACAATTGCATCTGAGTTGGTGTCTGCAAAAGAGATTGGCTAGCCAATCTAGTAAACAAGTATCCTCTATTACTATTACTTTGGCCAGCTAATATATATATATATATAGATAGAGAGAGAGAGACTCTCGTTAGTTGATTGAGCACTATAAAGAAAGGGTAATTTTTAAAAACTGTGGCTGCTGCTATTAACACATTGCTCTTCAATTATGAATTGAGTGCTGTTAGCTGCTGACATTTGTATACATCTTGTACATAATGCATTAAAAATTTCCCTTTCTCTGCCATGCACCAATAGCTTAGGGGTAGAATCTCTGACTGATGCCAAATCAGTTGAGTTTCAATCCTGGCTTGAAGCTATCAAATATCTAGCTACACTGATGTGCTGTGATACAGTGAAACAGGCTTGTATGTGGATGAGATAGATATATATATATATATATATATATATATATATATATATATATATATATATATATATATATATATATCAGTGATTTAAAGCCAAAACAAAAATAAATATCTAACCAGGGATTGTCTTTTTGCTGATGATTGTGCTCTTGTAGCTCACAACCAACCAGACATGCAAACCATTCTAAATCCTTTCTCAGATGCATGTGAAGATTTTGGACTTGCCATCAACATTACAAAAACTGAACAATTTTATCAGCCTGTCCATGACCAACATCCCCCTGTGTTTCCCAGTGTATTCATTGATGCCAAACAACTGAAAACTTTATAAATTCACTTCACTCAGTTCAGTGGTCTCAGGTAACTCAAAGATGGATAAAGAAATAGAAAACTGCATTGCAAAAGCTAGTGCAATATTTGGAAAATTGTATCTCAGGCTATAGGATTCAAAAATCTCTTAGGATAAAAGTTGATGCATATAGAGCTGTCATGCTAACCACTCTTCTTTATCATACTGAAGTCTGAACTCTATACCATATGCATATCTGGTGGTTAGATGTCTTCTTTTGCATAAGATGCTTACATCAAATCTGTGGTATTAAGTAGTGTGATAGAATCAAAACGTCCTTACCTGCTGTGACATATCAGGCATTGAAGCAATCTTGATCGAAACAGAATTGCAGTGGGCTGGTCACCTTGGCAAGATGGAAGACTCTTGCTTGCATAAACGGGACTCTTTTGGATAACTGGCTAATGTGAAGCATCAAGTTGGTCACCCTCTCATTCATTTTAGAGGCAAAATCTGACAACTTTAAAAGGTGTGTAATACCAGTAGACAGCTGAGAGCATCCAGTGTTAAATCACCAAAAATAGATGTCAACATTTTAACAAAGTTAAAAACTTTGAAAGAATGAAACTAGAACACCACAATGAACTGTGCAGTAACTCAAAACCTTGTCATTTGAACATACCTGAAGTTAATTTTGTTTATCACTGTGGTTTTCTGGCACAAAGCTGGGCTGGATGTGTGAGTACGGAAGCAACACATGGTTCCACCACATAATGGTCATACCTATCCCCAATGGGATAAAGAAAGTCTGCAAGAATGAGAAAGTCCTAAAGATCCATAATGTAGTTCAATTAGGGTGATCAGATTCTTGAAACTTCAAATGGAAGCATCATCTCTCCTTGAATTTGGAATGCCACATATACTAATGTTTAACAAGTCAAATGCACATGAAACATGATTAACCAATGAAAATCAAACAACACAAGTAAAAATGCCAGAATTTCTTTTTCACCATATCTCATTCTCTAATGAAGCTTTAATAAAAATGAAACATGTTAAATTGATAAACACTTCCTATTTGTTCTTTATCTTATCAATATAAGGAAATAGCTAATATTATCATTGTGCTACATCTGCCTTCAATAATTTTATTCAAGCTAATTACAATTTATAGTAGATAAAATAGTAAGAATAGTTCAATCATGGTGGTCTGATTGTTCAATGAGGCCTGAATTGTGCTTGTCAAAATATTGTGATGAGATTGCATCACTATTTTAGTCAATTAGGTTTATTCCATTTAGTCTACTGTTTTATTCAGCTTTTTGTCTACCTCCAGGACCATGGGCCTAGTAAAGCCACTTTTTCAATTAACAATACACTTAAGATTTTATTGATCTTTTTAAAATTTTATATCAAACCTCAGCATTTCTATTATGAAACCATTTCATTGCTAACGCCATTTACATTAAGACAAGTGCCATTATAATTAATGATAAAAGCATTGACTTTATTGACTGATATCCTAATTCTTTTAATAATAATAATAAAATAATTATCATTTAAAGATCACTTCCTGAGCATCCTGCATTTCAAACAGACTTGGGTATCGGAGCTTTAAGACGAGTGTTGACAGCATATGCATGGAGAAATCCTACCATTGGTAAGAATATTAATTGTATTATTCCAGTTTTGTAATAAATATTTACTTTTTTTTTTCTTATTCACCTTGTACAAGGTCTGGGAGCCACTCAAGGTAGAGGGTTAGTCTAAGGGGCTCAGTTTATATGGATATGTGAGAAAGATAGTAGTTAAGATTGTAGGGATCTGGAAAACATCCTCTTGAGAATCAGTTCCACAGAGCAGTAGTTTGTGGCAAGAAGTTGCTTGAGTGGAATACAGAGGAAATGAGGGTGGTTCATTATAATATGCTTAGCATGGTGGGTACTATCCATGAAGGTTAGAACTGACAGAACTAAGGAATGTAGTTTGCCTGAGCACATGGAAATAGCAATAGAGCAGCGAGAGGTTTACAAAATTTTGTCTGTGAGAAAGGGATTGATAGGTTTAATCACTTCACTTAGGAATCCTGACTATCAAAGTGGCTATTTTCATGTCCTGGATATGACTAAACTACATCTGCATCCTGGGTAAGACAATAAACTACATCCAACCACAAGGCCTCTGATCAGGAAGTTTTGAGGAATGTGAAACCACCTCTTAATTGCTGGTGTTCCCAGGTCCACTCTGAACCAGGGCATTAGCACCTGTTAGTGTCCCAGCTATGGGCAAATAGTTAACCCCCTCAAACTGGGACCAAAACATTATGAAATTGTAAAAATAGGTTTTAATACCAGCAATACATTTTTGGAAAAATTATTACCAGTAATAAAAATTGTCAGTATTGAGGTTGATATGCCATAAAACAAAACAAACCAAACCAAGCAAAATGGCTATTTTCAGTATGAATTTCTGTGATGAGGCGCTATCAATATTTACATGTTAAGTATACGCACTGCCCAAACAAGAGATTAAGCTCACAATTATTGTCACCAAATTCATGAACCAATACTATAATCCCCTAGGCTATTGTTGTCCCACTGTGGACAATCCCTGGACTGGGCAGTATGTATTTGGACTCAGTCAAAACTGGGCATACAATAACTGAGCAGTGTTAAAATAAGAACTAGACAAGATATCCCTAGACATGGGCAGTGGAATGAGAACAGTCTATACCTGTAGATTAAATAAAGGGTTTAGTTCAGAATTCCCCGTAGGTTAGTTGGATTGATATACACTTAATGAAGGCTATAGGGCACAATGGCTAAAATTTTGTGATGACATTAACAAAGATGAGGACATTAGTTCACATGTAAATAAAGTATATAAAATGATTATTTGGGCTAATGACTTGACCTAGGTTTTGGAACATTTCATACTTTTCATTATAGTTGTTTCATTACTATTTAAGAATTCTCTTTCATCTGATTTATAATTTACTATTTAAGAATTTTCTCTCTTACAACTTCATCATCATCAGTCCATTGACTGCTTCAATCATAAGGGTAGAAGAAACAGGCAACATCCTCCAGGATGATCTGTTGGCAGTGGCTCTTAGGAGTTCCAGCATTGTCACGTACTTCCACTTTTTGGTTTTGTCTGACCAGCTTTTGCATTGCCATCTCCGCTTGTGCCCATCTTCAACAGTGCTTTGCATGATGGTCTTGCAGAGGTTGTTATGCTATGTGATGTGGCCAAACCATAACCTCTTCTGATACTTAATAATTGTGAGGAGGGATTCTTGTTGACCCGCAAGACTTTTGACCATGCTCTATACATAATCATTGGTTTTGTGCTCCCGGTAAGAAATGTAGAGGAGCCTTCTCAAGCATTTGTTCTTCGAAAAAAAAGTACTTGAGAAAGCTCGTCCACATGAATTCTTTTTCCAAACCTCAAAAACTGGAGGGTCCAAGTTTCAAACCTGTAGAGGAATATGGATACAACCAGTGATTTGTAGAGCTTGAACTTGGTATGAAAGCTGATGTTGCTCTTTCATACACCTTACTGAGCATTAAATATCTTTTAGATTTATTTTCTGTAGACAAAAAAAAAAAAAAAAATTTCTCTCAGTAGTGCCACTTCTACATTCTGTGTCCCTGTTCAGGATGGACAGCCTGTTGTCTGTAATTCTAGAATATATATTTATATGCACATTTCATACTCTAAATATCCTATTATAATTGTGCTTGTCCCACCCTTTGTTAATTTTCACAACTGTTACACCCTGCCAATACCTCATAAATAATGGAGGACTATTTCATTTTGATCACGGGGAAAGAGGGGAAAAGACACTACTTGCTTTCAGTGAGAAAATGAAAGAAGAAAGAAAGGAAGATAAAAGTATGTAACACCTGTTTCAGGGAAATGGAAAAAGTTGTCAATTTCAAATCTCTTCATTTGTACCCACTTCTTAAAATAATGACCAGCATTCATGTTTATGATTGTTATTGCAATATTTTGTTATTAAGTTGTGAAGCTTAAATAGTTAACGATGTGATCGGGGAAATTTCTACGGATATTTTATTGTCATAGAACTCAACATGAAATTACTTAATCATTAACTTAAAAATTAAGATTCATCAGAAAATTCAAATAGGAAAATTTTCAAGAACTTTTCAGCCACCCCAGTCAAGTGCTACAATTTTTACCAGAGTGCCTCAAGTAAATCTGATATTTTGTAGGTTACTGCCAAGCAATGAATATTGTCACCAGTGTTTTACTTCTTTATGCCAATGAAGAGGAAGCATTTTGGTTACTCACTTCACTCTGTGAAAGACTGCTGCCAGATTATTATAATACCAAAGTCGTTGGTGCTTTGGTTGATCAAGGTAAATATATCCAGATTCTTACCTATTTTTGTTTTAAGAAATATTTGTATAAAACTAGGTACCTCCAAAAATTTTCTAAGAAAGAGTATAGCATGATGAAAAAAGGCACCAAATTTGATGAAACCAAAGTTTTATCATCAAAATGTTTGTTATTAAGAGGAAAGACCAAAATAGTTTTTTTTTTTTTTTTTTTAAGAAATTTTTAATTTATCCTTTCTAACAGATTTGAAATTTTGGTTAAAAAAAAAAGGTTTTCTTGAATCAACAGGTGGTCCAAAGATTACTATGGAAAATTTAGCATCTTTTTTATGGTAAAAAAAAAAACGCATTGTAATAAAGTTTTGAACATGCTAGAAAAGATTAAAAAATTTAATAAAATAGTAAAAATTACTTTGATCTTTTCTCTTTATAATAACATAAACATTTTTATGATAAAACTTTATTTTTTTATCAAGTTTGCCTTTTTTCATCAGGATATGTTCTTTCTTAGAAAATTTTGGGAGGTACCTAACAAATAAATATATATATATATATATATATATATATATATATATATATATATATATATAATATATATATATATATATAACAAACTAAATGTCTTGAAGTTATTGAGTTGGTGTAGTTAATCATTTACCCATATCTTAGGGTATCTAGAATGTTCCTCTAGCCTTAGAACCCTGGTATCAGAACAAAAAGCTCAATAGGCCACTTTTTGATGATTAATCTCTATCTTACCTCAGTTCCTAAAAGATTCATGAAATCTTTGGCCAAATCTGGCCCTAAATATTACTATGGGGCTAAATAACATAACATCCCTGTCTTAAATATCATTTTTCCAGCCAAGTTTGAACAACAACACAATGGGAAACCACACCATCTTTTTCAATAACTCTTGGCAATTCCCAGATAATAAAGAAAAGCACTCTATGGAGAGTCATAATTGCCTACGTCTTCAAGGGAAAAGGACTACTCCAGTTCCAAACCATGGAAAAAGCAACAGGAAACTACTTAACTATCTTTCCCAAGAAGTCCTGGCAATTATCAGATAATAAAGAAAAGGAACCTATGGATAGAGCCATGATCAACTGTCTTGAAGACAGAAAGATTACTCAGGATTCTTAATATTGGAGAAGGCAACAGTAAACCACTCTAACTTTCCCAAACAAAAAGACCTGACAATTTCCAGAGAGTAAAGAAAACAAATCTATGTAGAATCCTGAAGAGACATGTCATAACAAAAAGAGTTATTATTAAATATACCATTTTTTTTATTTTATCAGCCCCACTTAAGCTATATCAGTGTCTAATTTACTGCTTTATTTTATTCATTCTAAAAGGTGTTTTAGAAGAACTCCTTAAAGAAAATTTACCTGACCTCCATCAACGACTTGATTCTATGGGAATTTTAGGGATGATATCTTTAGCTTGGTTCCTGACATTATTTCTAAGGTGAGTATGAAAAGATTTCCATTGCATTTCTTTTTTTTTTTTTCAAAGTCTTATAAAAAGATTTTCTCTCTTTTGTGAAATCAATTGAAAATATTCAGATATTTTTTTTTTTTATTATTTATTCAAATAACCAAAAGGCAAAAAGTACAAGTATTTTTAGGAGTTTGTAGATCATATATAATAAACTGTCTTCAAATGTTTTTTTCTCAAAATAATATTACTATACAAGATTCTCATGTTTTTCAAATCCTTTCTAATGAACACTTCTCTATTTGTAGTGTCATGCCTTTTAATTGTGCTGTCAACATCCTTGACTGTTTCTTCTATGATGGAGCAAAGGTTTGTTTAACCACCATGTTTCTTTTCACTGATGAATTATTACAATCTTTTTTCCCTTGCATTACTACTTATTATATTTTTAATCATTTCACCCCAAGCAAGGCAATAAAGTCATTAAGATGCCAGGGGTTACTGAGTGTGAAAGAATATGAGAAAAAAAAAACATTAAGGAGAAAGAGAGCAATAAAAGAACAGGAATTAAAGAGACAGAAGATAACAATTGACATTGCATTTGAATTTATTGAAGATCCAAGTTGACTGGGAAGCAAGAAGCCAGAAGAGTTCCTGTTGTAGTAAAGAAAAGACTGTCAACTGATAGTAGCAACTGCAATAGATTTCTTCTGTTTCTCAACTGCAACACTTGTAGCCAAATCGCAGTTCAAACGATAGTCCGACGTAACAATCCAACACACAACGTAGAAACGACAAAATGGGGTCACACGTCCAACCTTCACTTCTCACCAGCAAAAACGCGTAATCGTTCCACCAAGCTCAAAAAAATCATCTTTTATAAGCGAAAAACAACAGCTTCTGTTCACCGAGAGAATTTTCTGATTGGTCCCGCCATTCAGGGGAGGGAAGAACATTAGCATAGCTTCTAATCATTGATGTAGATTTTTGCTAACTACTTTGTGGTAATTTTTCTTCGGCAGATCGCACATAAAACACAAACTCTTTTTTCAGGGTAACTGATTATCTCTTTCACTACAGTTCCACAAGCAAGAAGTGCAAGAGAATAAACACAAAACTTACATTTAGTAATTTCAACTGTAAAATGATGAAACCTATTTGCCAATTTAGTACATGAATCTCATTATTTTTATTACTAAGCCTAGAAGTTGCCCTATGGACAGACTTTAGGCTAGCTGTTGCAGAGGGATTTTGTGCATTCAACCTTTTACCTTCAACATCCTATGTACATAAAAGTTATATAAGAATTTAGAAATAATAAAATTATTTTATCTTTATTTGACATTGATCTTCATAGTTTTACATTTATTTTGCACACAATTTTTATTTTCTTTCAAAATCACCATTCTTTATGATCCCTTCATATAGTCACTCTTAAGACGTTTGTGAACCCAAACTATGTAATATTTCGAATATGTCACAGTACGTATGTTAGAGAAAGAAAAAAAAAAACATGAGCAATATACTGTGCCCCAGTTTAATTATGATTTAATTAGACAATATCAATTGCAGTTGCAACAAAAAGCAAAATACAAAATTGTTTTTTAAACCTTTCACTGTGTTCAATATTTAACTTTAAATGAGTTATTTATTTAGTTTTTAATTGCATGTAACTTCAGGTTGTTTATGATTCACTGAGATCAAAAACTGGACAGACAGACATACACTGCTCTTTATTATTATAGATTATAAATACTTTTCATTGGCTTATCAAGTTTACCTGGTATAATAGAATATTTAAACTTTTATAGTAACCAAAATTTTGCATGTAACTAAATTGATCACAATTATGAGTCCCATAACCCATTAGGGTCATAGGGGCACATACACTGCAGCTGTAGTAGTAGTAGTAGTAGTAGTAGTGTTTTTCTGGTCAAAATTGCTCATTGGAGCCCAATCCTCTCTAGGCTGGTGTGAATTCAAAGTTTTCCTTCTTTTAGACTAGTTATCAACCAAGGCTATAGGACCAGTCTGTCTTGCGATTAGCTGGGTGGGGATGGATTGATATCCTTTCCCAAGGGTATTAACACATAAGTGAATGTAATGAACTTGAGTGGAAATTGCGGGGTCATCACTCACATCATAGCAGCAGAAATTAGCCTTGTGTGCACATAGGTAAAAGCATACTTGACAGGAAATAAAACACACAAATAACAGGAAAAGCATGGTAAATTGTATGTTAATTTCATACAATTTATTTATATTTTTCTTATGTGTATTGGTGTGTGTATTTTTTTAAGTTACAATTGTTTTATGGTAGATATGATAAAAGGGAGAATTTACTCTATAGTATTACAAGCCATATCACAGAAAGAAGTTGGACATGTGTTTCACATACCAAGGTTCATGGCAAAGAGATTGAATTTTAACGCCTTTTGGTGGGATGTCCGTATTTCCCGCAGAAACAGTTTTTGTTGCATGCCTTTTATTATTTTCATTTTTTTATTTAATCTATTTTATACAATGTTTTTATTTTATTGTTTTATTTTATTTATAATTTTCATTATCATTTTATGTTTTATTTATTTATTTATAATAATAATAATAATATTCCTACAAATTCAAACTTTGCTCTCTGACTCCTCAGTCTGAGCTGTTATCCATTACTTCACCGTGCCCCCTATCTAAATAAACGTGTTTATAAAATATTGAAGTTTAAAGCAGTTGGACATTATGGAATTGTGATTTTTGTTAAAAGGAAATTTATGTTTAACCCTCTGTTAGTATTGTTATGTATTTGAACATGCCACAGAATGTGAATCACGCAGTAATAGCGTTCTCATTGGGGAATGTTAGTTTTCCCCAGTCCACTGACAAGTGAACATTTTCTACTTACCAATGACATTATTGGGTGTGTTTTAGCAGCCCTACTCATGAAGTAGAGGTTCGATCTTCTTATCTCAGCACAAGTATGACTTGAGCACAACCCTGTTTACCCATTCATATTCTTACTTTCCATAAATGATTTCAGAACCAAAAGGCAAAAGGACATACTCAAGAGACATTTTAACCTTGTTTCAATGCAGTCAACATAAAATGAATAAACATCCATAACAGAAACTCAAGATTTTTTTAATGTTTCTTTTATGTTCTTTTATATTGAACATGCACCTTTACCAAAAAAAAATACACACAAAACCCACGCCCTTGTTAACATCCACAAACTGCTTTTGCATATTTTCATTTTTGAAATTTACATATTTTTTTTATTATTTTTTTTATTTTATTTTTTTTTAAATATTAGCCTTTTAATGTGATTTTTCAAAATGAAATCTTTCTTTTCATTGTTATTTATCATATAAAAATTAGAAAGAATACACAATATTTAGCAAGAAAACAACAAAATGATGTATTTATAATATTAATATTTTAAATGAAGTGTTTGAAAATGACCCACAGTACTAACAGAGGGTTAAGAAAAAAAATCTTTGGTGTATTTAAGAATAAGCATTTTTTTTTTTCTCGGCCACCTTTGGAGAAAGAAAAAATCTTTTCTGGACATTTTCAAATAAACAAGGGAGACAACTCTAATTATCATCTGATACTTACTTCCCTTGTTAATGACTATTTATATTATATAGGGGACTTGGGCAATTTTTCCACGGTATTGTCGTTAAACTCACTTTAAATTTCAACCTTGTGTCACATCCGGTTGTGATATTGTTATGGAGTGGTTTCACAGTGGAGGCTTGTATTTGTACTAAGTCGGTCCTAAAATAGGTTTGACGTACAAAACGTTAAGAACTTGATATAATAGGTAATGATGCAGAGTAATCTAGTTGCGGTCGCTGATACTTTAGTATCCGACTAACGGTCATCCGGCATCGACTCACTGACCAACTACTGAGCAACTCCCTCATTACTCTTACTACTCCTACTTATTATAGGTTGGAGAGTCTATTAACTATAGAATAGGTGTGTTCCACTATAACAGATATGGACACCCTGATAATATATATTTTTATATTCACCCAAACATAAGAGAATGAAATAACTGCAGATAACTATATAATGGTTGACCCTAGATTTTAAGTGGTTAAGATTGTAGTGATTGAGGAAGCAGCCTTTCAGGAGTTTGTTTCACAAAGCAGTAGCTCTTGGGGAAAAAGGCATCCAAATACATTTTCATCCTTACCAATGGAATACTAGGAGAATGAGGATGATTCATACCTGTGCCCATGGCCTGGCAGGTTCTTGCTGTAAAACTATGGAACTAAGGAGTGTAGCTCTTCTAAATATTTGCCATGGAAATACTGATAGTAGCAAGAAGCTTGCGACATTTCATTTGTGGGAAAGGAGCTGAAAGGTGAAAAATAAGTCATCACCCATATGCCTGCATAAATGCCTTTGAACTCTATCAATACTGGAAAGTGAGGACTGGGCAACACCAGCCCAAATAGGTCAGCAATAAGTCAATATTGACTTATAAATATTACAAACACCTGCAACTTACAAACATTCCCTTCATGACAGGTTTTTCTATTCTTGCAGGTGATTTTCCAAATTGCTCTGACCATTCTTGAAAATAAAAGTGAAGAGCTGCTGAATTGCCATGAAGATGGTGAAGCTATGACTGTTTTAACAGATTATCTGGAAAATGTCAGCAACCCTGACTCCACAATGCCTATTGTGATGCACACTTCCTCAATGTCAAGCTCAACAACTTCATCTACCCAGGTAACATTTGCAATCTTTATATATTTATAATGTGCTATCAACCCATCTTCCTACATAAGGTGTGCACCATAATCAAAAAGAAAAAAAAGTAAAACTTGACTCATTTTAAAAGATCAAAGTAATGAAATTGAAGACTGCAAACCTGTTTGTGTATTTTTCCTTTTGCCTCTTACTACACTCTACCTTTCGTCTCTTTCATTTTTCATCCTTTTCCCTAACCCCTTTCACTTGCTTTTCTATTAGTTTTTCTCTAGCTTTCTTAATTGCCCTCTACTTTTCCTCTTCTATGACTTCTTTCCCTCCTTTCTTTCTTTCTCTTACTTTTCCCAATTCTTTTGTCAAATAGGCAATTGATGGTTATATTGTGTGTCTGTCTGTTTATGTCTATCTATCTTTGTGTATATGTCCCCACGTCTGTGTGTTCTGCATATGTGCCCAACTTTTAGAAAAAAAAGGGCACAATTATTCTGTTCCTTGGGTGAAATGCTGATCCATATATAACCCCGTCATTGGGAAGGGGTGCTTGTCCTATGTTAGCTGCCATTAAACTCTGAGAATATTATTTTGAAAAGGCTTCTCTATTTGAATGTAAAGAAACTTCTCAAAAACACATTTTATTTAGTGCATTAATTTAAAACTATTACATTTCATACAGTCATCTATAGATGTTGCTGATCTAATAGAAGAAAGCTATCGTCGCTATAGCCACATAACAAATCAAGACATTGAGAAATTACGATTAAACTATCGCTTAAAAGTAGTTCAGGTAAGTAAGTTTTCATACTTAACTTTTCTGTTTATTGTGTTTTTGTATGTTTTTTTATGGATACTTATTTTTGAGTTGATGTAGAAATATTGATTAAGTATTAATATAAGATCAATTGGTCTGAGGAAATTTTAATCATTTAAAATCTTTCCTGTTCTTTGATTTAAAATTGTCAGTTTTCATCTCCAGTAATAATCTCAGCTACAACTATTTTCAGTATTTTTATATTTTGCCACATTTTATTTATACTTTTTTTTTTAAATCTTTGTACATTAAACATTTTTCTCGCTTTCTTTTTTCTCGCTTTCTCTTTCTTTTTTCTCGCTTTCTCTTTCTTTTTTCTCGTTTTCTCTTTCTTTTTTCTCGCTTTCTCTTTCTTTTTTCTCTCTTTCTCTCTTTCTTTTCTCTTGTTCTTTTTCCTTTTTTCTCTCTCTCTCTCTTTTCTCTTCTTTTTTCTCTCTCTCTCTTTTCTCTTCTTTTTTCTCTCTCTCTTTTCTCTTCTTTTTTCTCTCTCTCTTTTCTCTTCTTTTTTCTCTTCTCTTTTTCTCTCTCTCTTTTCTTTCTCTCTCTTTTCTCTTCTTTTTTCTCTCTCTCTTTTCTCTTCTTTTTTCTCTCTCTCTTTTCTCTTCTTTTTTCTCTCTCTCTTTTCTCTTCTTTTTTCTCTCTCTCTTTTCTCTTCTTTTTTCTCTCTCTCTTTTCTCTTCTTTTTTCTCTCTCTCTCTTCTCTTCTTTTTCTCTCTCTCTTTTTCTCTTCTTTTTTTCTCTCTTTTTCTCTTCTTTTCTCTCTCTCTTTTCTTTTCTTTTTTCTCTCTCTTTTCTCTTCTTTTTCTCTCTCTCTTTTTTACTTTTCTCTTTTTTCTCTCTCTCTCTTTTCTCTTCTTTTTTCTCTCTCTTTTCTCTTTTTTCTCTCTCTCTTTTCTCTTTTTTCTCTCTCTCTTTTCTCTTTTTTCTCTCTCTCTTTTCTCTCTTCTTTTTTCTCTCTCTCTTTTCTCTTCTCTCTTTTTTTTTTTTCTTTCTTCTCTTCTCTCCTTTTTATTTCTCTCTCTCTTTTTCTCTCTTTTTCTCTCTCTCTCTTTTCTCTTTTTTTTTCTCTCTTCTTTTCTCTTCTCTCTTTTTTCTCTCTTTTTTCTCTCTTTCTCTCTTTTTCTCTCTTTTTTCTCTCTCTCTCTCTTTCTCTTTTTTTCTTTTTCTCTTTCTCTTTTTTCTCTCTCTTTTTCTCTCCTTTTTCTCTCTCTCTTTTTTCTCTCTCTCTCTTTTCTCTCCTTTTTTTTCTCTCTCTCTTTTCTCTCCTTTTTTTTCTCTCTCTCTCTTTTCTCTCCTTTTTTTCTCTCTCTCTCTTTTCTCTCCTTTTTTTTTCTCTCTCTCTTTTCTCTCGTCCTTTTTCTCTCTCTTTTCTCTCGTCCTTTTTTTCTCTCTCTTTTCTCTCGTCCTTTTCTCTCTCTCTTTTCTCTCGTCCTTTTTTCTCTCTCTCTTTTCTCTCGTCCTTTTTTCTCTCTCTCTTTTCTCTCGTCCTTTTTTCTCTCTCTCTTTTCTCTCGTCCTTTTTTCTCTCTCTCTTTTCTCTCGTCCTTTTTTCTCTCTCTCTTTTCTCTCCTTTTTTTTTTCTCTCTCTCTCTCTCTCGTTCTCTCTCTCTCTCTCCTCTCTCTCTCTTTTCTCTCTCTTTCTCTCTCTCTCTCTTTTTTCTCTCTCTCTCTCTTTTCTCTCGTTCTTTTTCCTTTTTCTCTCTCTCTCTCTCCTCGTTCTTTTTTTCTCTCTCTCTCTCTCTCTCCTCGTTCTTTTTTCTCTTTCTCTCTCTCTCTCTCCTCGTTCTTTTTTCTCTCTCTCTCTCTCTCTCCTCTTCTTTTTTTCTCTCTCTCTCTCTCTCTCCTCGTTCTTTTCTCTTTTTCTCTCTCTCTCTCGTGCTTTCTTTTCCTCTCTCTCTCTCTCTCGTGCTTTCTTTTCCTCTCTCTCTCTCTCTTTTCACTTTTTAAATAGCTTATCTCCTCAAGATGTTGGCAGTCACGGCTCTCTTCAGATTCCTCTTTATCAGTGAATACCATGATTTCCTGTTACTTTCTCCATGTTTTTTGCATTCATAGTAGTCCTCCTTGACTGGCTGCCACCCAACACTATAGAGCCTAGTTTACTCTGCTATTTAATCTATATCTGGTGGGGAGAAGAGATCAAATCCTGCCTTTGCCAAGGACATTAGTGCAAAAGTGTTATCAACCCTTTGGAGGTTATTGTAAGAATTATTTGGAAATAATAATAATGGTTTAGTGATACAAATCTTACTAATTGACCCAAGCTGGTGTGATATGAGGTAGATTCATGCCTTTTCCCAAGAGTATTTGTGCATAATTGAATATAACAAACTCAACTTGAACTCAGCTCTCCACTTAACAATTTTGAGCCATTATCCTTTACACCACCTGTATTCCCAAGTGGTCACCCATCTAGGTACTGATCAAGCTCAACATTGCTTAACTTCAGTGATCCTACAGGAACTGGTGTTTCAACATAATGTGGTCGTAAGCTTTAAATATTTGAAGTTGAATGATATTTTGATTTATTTTACATTTTATCAACTAATCCACTCAATTTATGAATATTATTTTTTATTCTTAAAAGTTGCTAAAACCTCAATCTTGTACTATATAACTTATCATTTTTACAACCCATTATTTTTATTTAAGAACATTGAAGATAGCACAATGAAAAATATTCTTCGTAGTGTAACTTCAGAAACAGTTTTCCAAGGCAAAGAACTTGAAGACTTGTATGTTCTCTTCCGGGTGAGTATAACATTTTTTCATAATTAATAAGTGACTTTTTAATTTTTGTAAAGAAATTTCTTTTATTTTAATTTCGGTTCAAATTTCTGGGATGAGGAGTTACCATTATTTACACTATTTATTATTAGAGATAGCTCAGACATTCATGAATCTACTACACCATCCATCATGGTCCTGCATCAATATCAGAAATTCATTAGGGTAACATCCTGTGTCCTTACATAGGTTGGCTGCCCAATTGTAACATGCCTAGGTGTCCAGAGCAGTTGCATTCACATAAGATTGTAGAAAAACCAGGGATGGATCTATAGAGTTATGATTTAGTTGGATGTTGTCTCCAAGAGATGTTAAGTATAGCTCTTCAGCATCCATGTGTAGGTTCCATCATGCTTAGACTCTAGAGTTTTAGTTAATGTCCAAGCAGTGGCATCATTTGTTGTTGTTATAATGTTTCAGCCATTATGCCCTCTGGCCTTCATCAGGTGTATATTAATTCAGGTAATCTACAGGGAATTCCAAACTGAACCCATTATTTACTCTAGACGAGGGGTTGGCAAACCCCAAATCCACATCCAGCCTGAGAATGATTTTTGTCTGGCCCACCAAATTAACCATAGTAAGGAATTTGCATTTTTGGTTGATTATGTTAGTTGTTATCCTGTTATTTTTGCAGTAAAATAAGGAAGCTTGTTTTAAATAATATTAAATTCATTGTTTTCCTTTAAGCCTCCAGGCCAAAGATGGTGTGGTCTGTGGTCGAGACAATTTATTATAGTACATTTGATATTATGGCCCTCTTCCAAGACACTGCGTAGCTGTCTGCTCATCTGGTTCTTATTTTTAGTACTGCTCAGTTATTGCTCATCTGTTTGTCTTCTTTTTCCTACTGAAAATATAGAAATTGTCAAAAGTTTCACACAGAATAAATAAAATAACTGATGACATTATTGGCACCACTTCTTAATTGCTGTTGTTTCCAGGTCCACTCTGACTGGGCATGGTGGCACCATTTACGGTCCAAGCTATGGTCAAATTCCAGCAATATAATTTTAATTAAAAAAAAATACTAACACAATACCTATTTATAATAAAATTACCAACAATATATCAGTAAACATGAAGGAGCTCTTTCATGATATTAATCCATATAATATCCTACAATTTCTTAAAGCAATTACTGTATTCCAAAATATAACTTCAAACTACAGCATAAAAAGCACATATTACTGCCTCTAGTAATTATGTCCACACAAACATGCATATGCACAAAAGCTGAGTATTATCTATCATGTATTCAGTTGTGAAAGCAGAATAACATGTATCATATTTTTATTACTTCAAATCTCCCAAGAAAATTAAATTTCAAATTTAAATGACCCATAAGGAGTAGATATGCTGGTAAACAAACCAAATCTCCCCCATGAACCACTGCTTTGTGCAGCCAACCACCAAGAGGATGCTTCCCAGATCACTACAATCTTAACATAATGTAAACGATAAATATCACTGTAAAAAAAAAAAAAAAAAAAAAAAAATTAAAATTAAAAAAAATAATAAATTTATTTTTTTTAAATTTTTTTTAACAATAAAATGTCTAATCTAATCTTTTTTTTTTTTTTTTTTTTCCCTTCAGGAGGAATACCTAACCTCATGTTATTGGCGCACTAGCCAACAACCAGTAGATACAATCGACAAGTTTGATCCTTCCCGGCCTTACTATGAACAATATAAAGTAGACTTTGACCAATTCAAGACAATGTTTCTGTCATTGTGTCCTTGGGCAACTGGTATCCATGCAGAGACTATGGCATTAAGGGCATTCAGAGTAAGTACTTATCACGTTTTTCACATTAAAATTTTTAAGAATTATTATATTTATAAACTATTCATAACATATTCAAATTACTATATGTAATGGGTGACCAAAAAGTAAATTAGTTAACTAAGTAACTTATATATTTTAACTGCCTTATTAAAGAATTTAATTTAAAAATGAAAAAAAATTACAATTATGTAAATTAAAGTACCTCCCTTGGATAAAACATTAAAAAAACAATAACTTTAATGGTTAATTTTTAAATTAACTGTTAAAAGGAGCACATTCATACATGTTTATAATTTATAACAGAACACGTTTCTTGTACATTTACAGAAACATTCACAAATATCAATTATATTGTTTTGTCTTATCAATTCACCCCTGAAGATGATCTTGGATAAGATTGAAAGCAGTTGGGAAAATAAATGAAATGAAAAAATATGGCACCTTCCTTAATGAATTTAATATCAACATTAAGAAGCTTATCCAAGAATTAAAGATGATTAAAATAAAAATATCTGGACATAATATATCCAAATTAATCAACCAAACATGCCTGAATGAATAATATATGCCAGATGTAACATCAAAATTGTCCAATTGTTAGATTAAGCTTTGAATCTTTTGTATCCTAGAAAGGATTAAAGATATCTTACTGGAATTCTCCAAGGTTTTTATAAAATGATTGAACTCTACTTTGAACAATAAGAATGTATTTAGCTCTAAGTTGAAATGATGATTTCTCTTGCTGTTTGACCACCTGATCCAATTTTCGTCACTACTGCTCCCTCTTTTTTAAACTTATGCACTGTTCTCTTGTTGGCTCTTCAATGGACTTTGAAGATGAAAGCCAGAGTATGATTGTTAGTACCATTACTGAAGGCCTGAATGTTCCTTTTTCCTTTCACCATTGCTCAGTTGGGAAGGCATAGTGGGGCTGACACAAAATGATTTTAACCTGTTTTCTTTTCAGTGATTCTTATGATGAATGGTGTCAAGATGGCTAAATGCCTTATCTGAAAAGCTGAAAAAAAAAAAGAAATTCAATTAGTCTAGTGGTTTTTTAGATATTAAACATTTTGTGGGATGGACAAATTATCCCACACTTGCTCTGACACCCTGTGTGTGTGTGTATCTCATAATATAATATCAACATATTGTGTCTACTTATCTTTATACTGATCCTTTCCAGGGGTCAGCAACCTTTTGCTAACTATGTGCCAACTTAGGGCTTTAAAATCATTCAGCGTGCCAACAGCATACATATTCTTATACAAGTCAAGGTCAATATACACCTGTTCTACAATATATTTTATATAATAACATATAGTTTAGTATATATTAAAATCCAAACAGCTAAATATCTTTGTGTTGTAGTTATTGGTTCAGACTTGGTGATGTCATTTGTGACTATGTGCCATTGGAAATTGTTTGGCATGCCATGTGCGGCACAGATGCCATAGGTTGCCAACCCCTGGTCTAATCAGTTTCTTGATGTTAAGATGGAATTCATCTAAAAACCCATTTCCATCCACCTTCACAATACAGGAAAAGAAAAAGAAATTATGACACCTTTCTTGATGAATTCCATATTAACATCAAGAAATTAATTAGACAACTCTGAAAAGATCAGTATAAAAATAAGTAGACACAATATGCCTTTGCCCATCTTATTCAATGTATCATGTTTGAATGACGATATGCTGCACACACATACACACACACATATATATTATAAATACTGCACAAATGTTTTAAAATGTTTACAGTAGATAGTTTAAAATATCTAGGTTTTAATTAATAGTTTTTTGTTTTCCTTTTTTTAAACATTTGTACATTTCATAACTTTGTTACCTCCCTCAACGTTTACATCATAATATTTATATCATATAGAACATAACTTTAGTGTTTTTCCCTTCACAATTAAAAAATTTAAGTTCCAGATTAACACAACAATGTTGTCTTAGAAAAATGATCAGCACAACAATTTTTCTCTTAGGAAAAAAACATCCATGTTTACTTTTATTAACCAACATTAAAAGTTTCTTTACTTTTAATAACCAACATTACAGACAGAAATTTGGTTTATCAATGGGATCTCCTCTCAGTGGCGTTCTTGCTTGTCTATTTTTAGAATTTCTAGAAAGTGACTCATTCAAAAATATTCTCCCTAAAAACTCTTCATATTTCAGATACAGACGACTCATTATTAATATTTCCAAAAAGCACCAATTTAACGGATCTTCTCTCCAATGTCATATATACATATATATATATATATATATATATATATATATATAGTGTTGCTGACAATCCTAGGCCCAACCAAAGAAAATCACCTGCTAGAGTGGTAAAACATACATGCTGTTCTACATATTCTCCCTGTAATTCAACACACTCAACATATTTCTTTAATACTTCCAAAAAGAAATACTGAAATGGGGGAAGTGATTCCTACCAAGGACTTTTCAACCAACCTCTTTTGTATATATTAATACTGTTTGATACTTTCAATGAATGATTTTGTTAGTATTCTAAACACAGAAATTTATTCAGCATTTCTGTTTTCTTTCAGTACCTGGATGAAAACAAGGATTATATGATCAATTTCAAAGAATTTGTCTGGATATTGGGGGTTGTATGCAAAGGGGAATTAGCAGCCAGATTAAAACTATTATACCAACTCCATCAACCACCAGCTTTGCTTGGTTCTGAAACATTGGAAATAGAAACCCCAAAATCTACATATTCTG